TTTTTGTTTGCTCTTTGAAGCACAGATTCTTGCTCTGTAGCTCTGGCTCACTTCTGACTATGACAATACTTCTGCCTCAGCCTCCCAAGTACTAGGATTAGATGTGTGAGCCACTAACAACGTGGGTTCTGTACTATTTAATACAGCTGAACTAGGGTCGGTGTGACTGGGAAATAAACTGTACATATCTTAGATGAGTTTCCTGCAGGACTGCTATGTGGGCCACTTGGCTGGATGCTGTGAGCTATCCAGTATTTGGCAGGACTGGCCTCACCATACGTTCTGGAAGACTCTAGAGCAGATGGAAGGAGGCCTCCAGTAGATCCTTACCAAGTGAACTGAAATGCCAGGATGCCTAGGGAGAGGAGTTCTGTCAGCACCCCTCTGTTACTTCCTACTCCTCCATAAAAATTTCTGCAGTTTTGTTTTTGCAAGCAGGATTGTTGTTTTTAATAGAACATCTTTTATTCTTTGCAGTTCCACGCATGTTAACAATCACATGGACTTGATTTTATGCACTTCCAGCTTCTCCCTCCTGCTCCTCCCAGACAATCCTGAAAGCAGTGGGGCTAAATAAAGACATTTTCATACAGGGCTAAACACAAGGGTAAGAGAGGCACTCAGAAGGAAGTAAAAACACACCTAAGAAAGCATTGGTATGGCTTCTCAAAGCAGAATCAAGGGAAGTAAGACCTACCCAAGTGTGGGTGTGGACTCTTCAAGGGAGAGGTGAGAGCTTTAATTTTTTTTAAATATTTTGTTTTATTTTTTGTAACCCAAGCTGGTCTCAAATACTGTGTAGTTTAAGATAACCTTGAACTAATGATCTCCTTCCCAAGTGTGCTGCAACATTGTTACATGGTGCTGGGGCACTGAATCCGAAGCTTCATCCAGAGCTTCATCCTTGCTAGATAAAGTAGGCTACATCTTTAGGCTCAGGGGTTTTTTTAAAAAGTACTCTGGAGTATAGTAATTCACTGTGTGGTCCTGGCTGGCCTGGAACTCACTATATAGACTAGGCTGGTCTTGAGTTTATAGAGATCTGCCTGCTTCTGCTTGGATTAAAGGTGTATGCCACCATACCCAGCCTTTTGAAAGTGGAAAAAAATTGTTAATTTGCAGGTCTGTAGTACTTTATGACTAAGTAAAATAAATGAGATAACCTGGGTCTTTAAAATTTCAGAATGTAATCTCAGCACTGGGGAAATGAGAATGCTGGCCTGGGCGGCAAATGACTTCCAGGCAAGTCTGGCTTCCACAGAGTGAGACCCTGCCTCGGAGAATAAAATAATAGAAATCAGTACAACATGCAGGTAGAAAACTACAAAGATGGGAGTTCTTCAGAGTAATTTTTATTAATTGGTTTTAGTGGCTTAACTTACTTTGATCCATGAGGATCAGACAGGAAAAAGAACTTGGTTACCTCCCTTTCCGTTCCAGGGTGCGCTTGATCCTACCCGGCTCCCCCATCTTCCAATCCCCATGTTACCCTGTCCTTTCTTTTCCTTTCGTGTCCATCTTATTGCCTTCCGTTGTGACCTCTTATCTCCTGAACTTGTGTCCTTTTAGGGAAATTGACATTGTTCCTCGGTGTTAGGAAAACCGCCTGTGTCCTGGTGCTCTGTAGCTCATTTGCCTTGCCAGCCCAGTTTTGATTATCCCTTGGCAACACCAAAATCTCACCCTCCTGGGAAACTGTTACCAGTCTATGATGAAAATGTTATTTGTCCTTTTACTTTTGGCTGATTGAATCTTTAACATCTTAAATTACTCCTTTGTCCAGTCTATAATATGACCCCATAAAACCTGCTACATCTAATTCATGTATATGAGCATTTTGTTTGCATGTATGTCTGTGTACCATGTGCATGCTGGTGCCCTTGGAGAACAGAAGAAGGCATTGGATCCCCTGAGACTGGAGTTACAGACAGTTGTGAGCTTCCATGTGGGTGTTGGGAATCAAGTCCAGGTCCTCTGGAAGACCAGCCAGTGCCCCTAACCACTGAGTCATCCATCCCTTCAGCCCCTCCACCTCTAACCCTTTGCATATAGTTACATTTGGCTCTTACAAATCCGTACTTTTACATTATCCTTTAGACACTAGAATTAAACTTTTACATTGCCTAAGAAATTTTATTTTGTTTTTTTTTTTGTTTGAGTTGGGATCTCACATGATGCAGACTGACCAAAGTGACCAAGTCCTCTTGCCTTTACCTCCCCAGTCAGTACTGGAATTATAGACAAGAACTTTTAGTTAAAGGGTTTTTAGATATCTTACATGCCTGGAATGTCTATTGTCTACCTTTGACCTAGCATTGTTTCTTCACTGTAACCCATAAACTTCTACACTGTAAAAACTGACATTTCGCCAGCCCAGCTGTGGTGACACACGTTTATAATCACAGAACTTGGGAAGCCAAGGAAGAGGATCACTGTGAGTTTGAGGTCAGTCTAGGATGCATAGTGAGTTCTAGGCCAGCCTTGGCTAACAAGTGAGACGCTGTTCTACTTTGACATGATGGTGGTTTGGGATATTTCATTGTGTAGGTAACTGTCCTGTCAGGGACGTTTGCCACCATTCCTTGTCTCTACCCCTAACATTACAGGAGTGCCTGCCCCCCGTGAGATAACCATAACACCTCTTTTTTGTTTATTTTTCCAGATAGGGTTTCTCTGTATAGCCTTGGCCTAGAACTCATTCTGCAGACCAGGTTGGCCTCAAACTCACAGAGATCCACCTGCCTCTGCCCCGAGTCGTGGGATTAAAGGCATGCACCATCACCGCCCGGCCCATAATGCCTCTTTTAGCCATGTGCTGTACTGTTATTAAAAGATTTCTTAGGAATACCCTGTCTTCAGAGTCAGAAGTCAGGTGAAAGACGAGAGCTGTAATTAAGTGGTAGAGCGCTTACCTAGAGTGTGGAGACCATTGTCTCAGTCCCTAGCACTAGTGGGGAAAGCAGGCTGTGCACAGAACAATTTAAATATGCATTTGTGTAGAGGTTTATTAGAGATATATGCCCAATATGCCATTTGTGGAATAAAAAGATGATATAAATGACATAAATAACTTTTTGAGATAGGGTCTCATGTACCCCAGGTTATCCTAGAGCTCTCTGTGTAGATTGATCTTAGACTCTTGATCTTCAGCTTCTATTTCTGAAATGCTCGAATTCCACATGTGAACCACCATGCCCAGCTAACAGTTTGAAACTAGTACATGAACAGTAGTCTAGATGACTCTTAACTGTTTAAAGCATTTGTAAGACTTAAAGATAAAGTCTTCAACTTGCCATTTAAAATATTTGGACTTTTGTAATAACGATCATTTTTTTTTCTTTTTTGGCAACAGCATCTCATGTAGCCCAGACTGGCCTGAAAGTATGCAGCTAAGGATAACCTTGAAATTGTGATCCTCTTGCTTCTACCTTTCAAGTTCAGGAATTACAGGCACGTGCTACCACCACCTGCCCCCCCCCCCAATTAATTTTTTTTTTTTTTTGTGCTGGAGAAATAGCAAACATTCTGTCCCCAGCTCTCAATTATTAATGGTGATTGATCTTACTAAAACATTCTTAAACACATATATCATCAGTTGATTTTTTTCCTTTAAAACAGGTTTCACTATGGAGCCCTAGCTGACCTGGAATGCACTGTAGACCAGGCTGTCTCAAACTCATATATATCCACTGCCTCGGCTTCCCAAGCACTGGGATTAAAGGTGTGTGCCACTGCACCTAGCTGATTATCTCTCGAATCTTAATTTTTTTTTTCAAGTAGAAATGTATTGTTGTATAGATGGACTTTTCTTTTTGGGCCACCAGCTCACAAAAAAATGACAGAGACTTATTATTAATTATGAAAGCTCAGCCTTAGCTTAGGCTTGTTTCTAGCTAGCTCTTTTTTTGTTTTGTTTTGATTTTTTGAGACAGGGTTTCTCTATAGCTTTGGAGCTTGTCCTGGAACTAGCTCCCAGGCTGTCCTCGAACTCACAGAGATCCTTCTGCCTCTGCCTGCCGAGTGCTGGGATTAAAGGCGTGCACCATCTCCGTCAGGCTCTAACTAGCTCTTATAACTTAAATTAGCCCGTATTTTCTAATCTGTGTTCTTCCATGTGCTCGTTACCTCATCTCCATTATGTCCTTTTCCATTATTCCGCATCTGGCTCACCCCTCTGCTCTTCCTCCCAACGTCTTCTCTGCTCCAAAATCCTGCCTAGCTATTGGCCATTCAGCTCTTTATTAAACCAATCCAAGGGACACATCTTTGCAGCACACAGAAAGATTATTCACGACACTGCTGTGTTTGTATTTTGGGGGTTTTGCTTTTTGGAGTGGGTGTTTATTTGGTTTGAATTGTTTGTTTCTGTGTAGCCTGGTTTTCATGAAACTCCATCAACCGATCTTGAGCTCAGAGGACTGCCTGCCTCGGCCTGCCAAGTGCTAGGATTAAATGCATGTGCTAACATTGCCAGCTATTGTTTGTTTTTAAGATAAATAAGGTTTTTGTCTGTAACTCTGGACTGGAACTCACTAGTTAGACCAGGCTGGCCTCAGACCCCGGACAGTCCTTCTGCTTCAGTCCCCTGAATTCTGAGATTGCAGGTGGGAGGTGCCATAGCCAGCGTGTCTGCTTTTACTGGTGGCTGTCTTTGTATTTAGTTCCAAATGTCAAGATTGTGTTAACCTTGGGAGTGTCTTGGATGGTTCTTTGATATTATAAAATCTATCCTTGTGAAGTTCACAGTAGTTAGGTATTTAGAGTATTCTTATGCATTATTGCATGTGCTTTTAGACTTTGACCACATGCATAGCTTGAAGCTGAACAATTTGATATATAATTTATGGATCATAATATGACCTTTTAATATTTAGAATAGCTTTTCTAAAGATGTTTGCAAGTTATAAAACAGAACCTTCAGGATACTTTCCATCTAATAAGCAGTTTGCTTCACCTGGCATCTCTGTTGTTTCTTTGTTTTGGTTTTGTTTGTATCACAGAAAAGCTTCACTGGCCTGAGCATGAACTTGCTAAGAAGTCTGTTCTAAATGCAGAAGAGGCATTGATCATTGACAGCAGGAGAAGCTTTTCAAGTCTGTCCTCTGGAGTGCTCAAGGACACTTTTACAACTGGAACCAGTAGTTACAATGTTCTACTACAAAGCAAGGAGGAGAGAAAGCACCATTCACAAAAGCAATTTTCCTCCGCCTTCTCCAAAAGACATAGAAAGCCCAGCAAATCTCCTAATTCCTCTCATAGTAAAGATTCTCACAGGATGACAGCCCTGGTGCCTGTGACCAACAGTGGTACTTGGTACTGCCTGGAGAGGCAGTCCTCTGTTTTTGTCCCTAGTCCAGTACCAAGTCCTGTAAAGTTTACCCGTGGTATCTCTGTTACAGGGAGCGGCCTTGCACTGCCACCTAAACCGAAAAGCAAGGTGAGCCGCCGCAGTGTCACCCCCGTCCCAAAGCCCAAGCAGCAGCCTCAGCTGTGTAGAAGCTTTGAGAAGGGAGAAGAGCTTACTGGGAAGAAGCTCTGTATCCTTACTGCCATAAAGCCCACCAACCTGGAGAAAGAAAAGTTGCGGTTCTTCAAGTCGGACTATACTTACAACCCTCAGTTTGAATATGCCAACCCTGCTCTGCCTGGTGTGTTAGCCAAACACAGCAATGCCTCTGACCGATTTCTTAAGCAGGTAAAATGCCACTTCTGTAGTAGTGTCTCGTGGTTATGTAGCTAAAGCAATTATCTACCATTTTATAAGCAAAAAGAGATACCTTACTATCCTCTGTGATCAACTACCACCAAGGATGGGTAACTATGTGATAAGAAATCTGCAGGTGAGTGTTTTTGTTCATGTTTTTGGTCCATGAGAACTGTGTTGCACTAATCAAACTATACAAAGACACTGTGTTCTGTGACTAAAAGATACTATACTTGGGAACCACTTCTGATTCTGTGCTTCTCTTTGGAAGTTGTGAACTTGCAGGCTAGGTAAACTTTACTGTTTGTTTTCTAGTCAGCTTTTCCCCCTTGGGGTACAGGAGATCAAACCCAGGGTCTTGTACACGCTAGGTAATTGTTCTACCACCACCATCCTTCACAGACACATCAGGGACAGGATCTAGTAACCCAGGTTAGCCTCAGATTTGCAGCGTGGCTGACGTGAGCCTTGAACTCCAGATCTTCCTGCTTCCACCTCTCAAGTGCTGGAATTGGGTTGGTGAGATGGCTCAGCAGGTATTGGTGTCCGCCACCAAGTCTTACAACCTCAGATCAGCCGATCTCCAAGATCCATAAGGTTGGGGGGAGAGAACTGGCTCCTGCAGACTGTCCTCTGACTCCTTGTGCATGTGTGCACCACTCTCACGTACAATATTATTAAAAGTAAATAAAATCTAACTCCTGGGGTTACAGCAGTGTGTTATCATACATAGCTTATAAAGCGTTTTAAAATTCCTAAAAATGATTTTTAAATGATACATAAAATATGCTATGTATTTTCCTTGGTAAAAGCACTCTCTTACTCTTGGCTTTGTATTTTTCAGTGAGGCTCACCCTTCTGTTTGTTGTTCAGACAGGATTTCAGGTGGCCCAGCCTGGCCTAGAGTTCCCCAGTAGGGAAGTGACCTTGACCTTCTCTCAAAAGATCTGCTTATCTTTGGGGGGAGGGGTGATTCAAAACAGGGTTTCTCTGTGTAGCTTTGGAGCCTGTCCAGGAACTCACTCTGTGACCAGGATGGCCTTGAACTCACAGAGATCCTCCTGCCTCTGCTTCTCACAACGTAAAAGCAGACAAACAGAAAAGACCATGACCGAGTGCTGGGATAAAAGGCCTGTGTCACCACCCAACCTGTCTGCTTACTTTTTGTGGTGTTGGGGATCAAACTCTGGACTTCATCCTCTACCAACTGAGCTACATTCCAAGCCGACTTTGCTGTTATTTTTAGTTGACAGTGACTCCTATGCCCCTCATTTTTTGTCGAGAATGTTACTTAATCAACTTTGATTTTTTTTTTTGAGACAGGGTTTCTCTGTAGCTTTGGAGCCTGTCCTGAAACTAACTCTTGTAGACCAGGCTGGCCTCAAACTCACAGAGATCTGCCTGCCTCTGCCTCCTGAGTGCTGGGATTAAAGGCATGCGCCACCACTGCCTGGCCATAAATTTAAATTTTATAATTGTAAAAATATTATTTATTTATTTCCCCTCAGTGCTGAAAATGCCAACTGAGATTTATGTACCACTATCTGAAGCCCGGTATACAGCATCCCACTGCATTGTGCAGGAAAGTACCATTTCACATCAAAATGAATTCTCTATCATTTCTTTGGAAGGCAGTTGACACTGGCTGCCCTGAGGCTCTACTGTATTCACGTTAACCCACTTCCATCTGCAGTAATTGAATGTATTTGAATTGCCCTAGGTTTCTAAATAGCACCAGTAATCCTAGCTGGCTTGTACCTTAAATACCACAAGTGGGGAAATGGCACTTTACTTTTTAAGGCACTTTAATCAAATTGAAAGAAAAATCACAGAATGTAGAAAACTATGATTGAAATCCTATTCAGGATCTGAGTGAGTTATAATATGAAGTCACACATCTTCCCCTGCCCAGCCCTGAAAACGCTTTAGTTTAGGAAAAGGCCTCCAGGACTCAGCAGCAGTATCATGAGCCTCCTAATCTGGGCACTTCTGAGGCAGTCTCTCTACTGTTGGAGGACGACTATGGTCCTGAACTGGAGAGCAGTCAACCTACCAGAGTGGGCCAAGGTGGCAAACAAACTCTGACCATTCCCATTGGTCTCCCTGTCAGTGGTCGAGGAATTCCGGGACTAAGTCACCAGGGTGTCCAGTTTGGGCAGCCAGGACAGAGTTTGGTGAGCCCTGTCTAGATGGGCTAGAAACTGGGGTAGCTTCAGTCTTCCTGCTCTTGGATATATTTAAACTTTCCAGAAACCTAGGCGTGGGTGTGGTGGTCCAGACTTTTAATCTCAGAGGCAGAGGCAGGCAGAACTGTGTGAGTTCCAGGACAGCCAGGACTAAGTAGTTGAAGGCCAGCCTGGTCTACACAGTGAATTCCATGACAGCCTGGTCTACGCAGTGAGTTCCAGGACAGCCAGGACTATGTAGAGAGACCAAGAAACCCTGTCTTAAAAAATAAAAGAGAAAAAAAACCCAAGTTTTTAAATTACACCTCTCTCCAGATGACACATTTTTCTATTTAGATGATCACAAATCTTTTACACATACCTCAACATAATAAGGCTTTCTAATAGGTTATTTAGAGATTACTATGTCCCTTGGAAATTTTATATACTACATAGGAGAAGTGGGGTCATTTCTTAACCTCATAACAAAAAGGATTCTCTTGCATACCAGAGTTCTGGTTTCTCTACATGTTCATCAGCTTTTGTTGTGTTGTTGTCCTGTTCTTGTTTTTTCCTATAGTCAGCCTAACGGGTATGAAGTATTTTCTCTTCATTTTTCATATTTTAGAATTCCTGTCTATATGCCATCAGTAAGAAATTTGCTTACTTTTTAAAGAATCTAGGCCTTGGAGAGATGGTTCAACGGTTAAGAGCACTGTATCCTCTTCAGTTCCCAGCATCCACATGGTTACCATCGAAAACTCCAGTTCTGGGGTCTGATGCCTTCTTCTGGCCTTTGCAGGCACAAACACACACGCGATGCACAGATACATGGAGGCAAAACACATTAAAAATATTTTTTAAAAAAAACTTAAAAAAGAAGAAAATGTAAATGTTGTCTGGAAAATGTGATAGATTTATTTCTAATTATAAAATTGAGCTGCCTCTGAGACTTGTTGACTGGTACATTTTGACTTGTATTGATGCTCTGCATCCCACATCTGTATTGAGAATGTGGACACACAGGAAAATAGACCCCAATGTGATACATACATCTGCAATCCCAACTTGGGAGACAAAGACAGGAGGGTTAGGAGTTCGAGGCCAGTCTTAGCTACAGAAAACTGTCTCCAAGAGAGGAAGGAAAACAGGAAAGCCTGGCCCTCTTCTTCTGTTCAGTCATGCTCTTTACCTTTCGATTCTGGGGGTAGAGATTCTAACATTCAGAATTACTGATGACAGAAAGAAGCAAGATTATTTTTTGAGTGTCTAGTAGATATTAAATACTATCTCCATATAAACCACATACGATGGACTTTATCTTTTTAAAGACATGGTCTTCTGTAGCTAAGGTTGGCTTCAAACTCACTAACAGAGAATACCCGTGAAGTTCTGATCTCCCCAGTGCTGGGATTACAGACCCCTGTCTGTCTGTCTGTTTTTATTTAATGCAGTACTGTATCAGACCTGAGACTCCATGCTTACCAGGCAAGATGTATCTGCAGTCCCAACTGTTGATGTTAAATATTTTAGCAAGCTTTCTGGAAACATCAGTGTAACCCTATATAATATTGCTGCTATGGTGGTGTTGGACAAGGCAAGATGGGGTGGAGGAAATGATGTTCTGCTGTGTCCCTCTTGAGCACATACCACTATTTGTACTTATTCTTTGACAGGGTATCAAATATAAGGAACACCTGTGTAGTAAGCAGATAACCACATCCTAAGTACATGCTTTAAAAAAGACCCTTATAGGAGTAATAAAGGAAAAATTAAAATATATGGAAAGGAAAACATTTGAAAGCATAAGCATAAATTACAACAAAAAAAGTCAAACTTCTTTTAGGTCTGTCTCTCCAATACAGAGGGGACACTCGCTCTCTTCTGCGGTGTTTAAAGCCCAGTTCCCACACTCTTCACTGTTTGATAGTAGATGATGTACCCAGTAGACTGGAGTATGTAAAATGCCCTTGTTGATTTGGCTTTAATTATTGCTAATTTGTACTTTTAGTCATCTTAGTTGTCACACAAAGCAATCAGCCCATGGGGACTCCTGTGCTCTTCCTACAGTTCTGCATAGTTCTTGCACTTTACTGTGTTTGAATCACCTGGGGACCTTGTTTCAAAAGCAGAGTTTGAAAGCTGGCACGCTGTCCCACACCTTTAATCCCAGCACTCAAGAGATCAGTCTGATCTGTAAACATTGAGTCCCCGTCTCGAAACACTACCACCACCAAAACAAAAACAAACAAGCCAAACCCAGGTTCTGATTTAATAGGCTTAAAGATGAGCAGTAAGGTCTACATTTCGGGACAGCCTGGCTACTCCAGTCTCTGCCCTTGGCCACGCTGAATAACAAGGCTTTCAGGAGTAATTTGTCTTGTAACTTTCTGATGCCTTCCTAGTTCGTTAGGGATGTATCTATGCGTTGCTACACTTGTGGTGTGATTGTCCCCTCTTGGTATGACATGTCAAGTGCATTGTTTAAAGTGCACATAAAGAATGGAACCACAGCAGTGATGATGTAATAGGTGACTGACGACAAAGGTTGATGTATTTTCTCAACTATGACGTAGATTGTCATTGTTATTACACCCACCACTGAGGAAGTGGAGTCACACTTGAGTGACTGGTCACAGTGACACACCTAGAATATGGGAGACAGCCTGGCAGCACAGGGCATGTACTGACCTTGTAACTGTTTCTCAGTTAGTTCCTTTCCAGTCCATAAGAGCTCAGAAATTAGATTTCTTTTCATAGATTTTCTTAAAAGATTTCTTTTTATGCATCTGTGTGGTTTTAAAGAGATGTGTTTATTTTTATGTGAATGGGTGTTTTCCCTGTATGTTGGTAAGTCCACTTCATGCATGGATGCCTGTGGAGGCCAGAAGAGAATGTTACATCCCCTGGGACTATAGTTACAGACCATGTGGGTCGCTGTGTGAGTGCCGGGAGCCAGGCTGGGGACTCTCAAGAGCAGCCAGATACAGGGGAATTTTTTTCCTTCCCAAAAGATCTTTGAAGAACAGGTTTCTTCTGACTTATATTTTTCTATCCTGTGGTTCTCTTGGAGGTTCTGATGATTTGTCCTTATCACCAGATTTTTAATAGTCTTCACCTTTTCTGTGTGTGTTGGGAAAAGGTCTTGACCTTTTAGGGTGATGGGAAGCAGATGATACGTTGCTCTGGATGAAAGCCGGAAGGATTTTAAGACTGTGATTTTTGTTTTACTGTCACTATTTTTTTTTGTCACCAGAATAAAAGTAGCTTTTGGCACTTAAGTACTCTTTCGTTCTTGTGGTCTGATGTCTGTATTTCTGACCAGCACTTTTGCTTGCCTTTTGAATAAAATTTCCTTGTTACTTTTCACAAAACAAAGCAAAACAATAAAAGATGCATGCAAGTGGAGCACAGACATCCATGCAGGCAAACACCCATAACATAGAATAAATAGATGAATAAATGCATTGTAAGCAGATTTTATAGGTTGTTACAGAGGACTGGTTACTTTGTATGTTTTTAAATTTTGAAGGACTTTTTTCCTTTATCTAAATGGTATGTATAGCCCATTAACTGGTCTAGAGACATACTTTATTTATATTGGAGTTCTTCCAAGCCACGATATATCTTGTCCAGGAGCCAGAACCCTCTTTGTCCAGCTTTTCCTAGCAGCAGGTATAGGCATGATGTGCGGTTTTTAGCCACTACTCTGGCTAAAGACATGAGAAGACAGGAAAGAAGAGTGTTGTTCACAAGCCTTCTTCCCTTTGGACCTTTGTAGTCAGTCTCACTGTGTAGCCCCAGGAGGATCTTACTCTTTAGACCATGAATGCAATGCTGGGCCAGTAAGAAGAACATTTGCAAATTTGGGGAAGTCGGTGGAAACTGTTTAAACTTTGAAAAATACGCAGCTGGGAATGCAGCTTAATTCAGTAATCAATAAATCTGAACAAGTCTTGACAAATTAGGTGATAATTAGCTCCCTTCGTCTCAGAGTGGCATGAGCTGTTCACTGTCCTATCTCCCTTTCTTTTACAGTCCATCAATATTATGGAGCTGACTTTACAGAAATACGGAAGTTACGAGAAATTCGAACAAGCTACTGGGGGTAGCTTGTTGTCTAAATCTCGAATCTGGAGTCATGTTAGGAAGTACATGGTGAAGGAAGGCTGCCTAGGAGAGGTATGGGCCGTGGGTGACTTGGGGACCTGGCTGTGATGTTGGCATTTGCAGTCGGTGCCACATACATTTTTTTTCTGCAGGTTTTGTCTGATCAGTCCCTTTAACTCAATGAACTGGCCTCTTGCCACCTTTCTTTTGCTCTTACTTGATTCTTATATGTGTAGCTTATGGTATTTTGTGTGTTACTCAGGGAGAATTGCTGAGAGAATTTGCTGCAGTGTTGTCTTATTGATAGACCAGTCTCACTCATCAGTCTCAAAACCTTGACACTGACAAGGAACAGGTCCTCCCCACTCCCCACCCATGAGCTGGTTCTTCCTAGTCCCTGTGTGGATTCTGGGGCTCAAACTTGAGTTATCATCTTGCAGGGCAAGCACCTTTGTCCACTGAGCCATCTTGTCACTCCCTCCCCCTTTTTAAAGTACTGAGACTTGAACTCAAGGCCTTGGGCAAGCACTCTACCTTGAAACTCTATTCCCTCTTCTTTTTGCTTGAGACAGAATTTTACTAAATTGCTCAGGGTGGCCTTGAATTCTCTCTGTAGTCAACTAGACCTTGTTCCTCTTGCCTTGGTTCTCCTAGTCCCCACTGTACCCCTTTCTTAAAATTACAAATTTTAGTTCTGTCTTCCTTTAGCACAGCCATCTACTTTCTTTGTTTTAAAGATAGGCTCTCTCTCTCTCTCTCTCTCTCTCTCTCTCTCTCTCTCTCTCTCTC